CTCTCTCTCTCTCTCTCTCTCTCTCTCTCTCTCTCTCTCTCTCATATTTATAATAAAAATTATAATCTTCTCATTATTATATATGTAATATTTGTCTACAAACATACTACTAAAAACGCACAAACCATCGAGTATTCACAAACATTAGCCGCTGTAACACTACCGTCTGTCCGTCCCTCCTGTCAGTGTCCAATTATTTGAAATAAGAATCTTCGGGATAATGATTGCGAAAATCCCAATACTCCTCCATGGCACAATTGCGAATTGCTCACAGCTGTCATCAGTTCCGATCTATTCTCGAGAAGAAAATGATCGAAACTTCCTTATAACTTTAAATCTTTCACGCAATCAGTCGAGCACACAAGAATCAACAGTCAAAAATCCTTTGAACTCTAAATTTCTTCAATTCGTGCTCGCGCCCTCTTCTTCTTCCTTATTCCTTCCTTATTTTTCAATTATTTGATAAATATATTTATCCGCATTTTTGAGCAAAAATCTTACACTGTCGAGGAACCATTTTTATAAATGTCGTTACGTTCATATATTTTCTGAATAATTCGTACAATAATACTGCGCATAACTTTTACTGTCCGTTGTTACCATGTATGTAGAGTCATTTTGATATTTGACGAAACGATCGTCTTCTTAAAGCAACACGTTTAATATTAAAAGTGGGAGATAATGTTCTTTTCTCAAACAAAATTCCAAATCGTCATTATTATGTCATTATAAATCTCACTTACAGTTTCGTTTGAAAGAGCTTTTCTAAACTCGCCATACTTTAAATTTTAAGATGTCGAAAGTTCCAGCAATCTTGTCCGATTCTTAAGATATTTGCGCATGACAAAGCAATGAAAAGAGGGAAAGAAATCGAAGGAAAAGAGTATATCAATAATTCGCGCTCTTTTTCGATGTCTCATCAGATAATGGATAAATATCAAACTGCCTGTCAAACATATTCCATTATCAGATAAGAGGATGAATAAGTAAACAAAAAAAATGAATATATGAATAAAATAAAGAAAAACAAACTCAACTCTGGGAAATGAGACCGTCGCTCACGGACGGTTTACAAACATATACGATAGACGCATATTTATATGCACATTCATTTGCTATGTAACGTTGTTACTTATTTTCGAAATCTGGTGAAAATCAGAAATATGAAACAATCTCGTTATTACTGTTCGGATTAAAAAAACGTTAGGGAAGAACACGCGCCAAATTTTAGAATATATTTAAAGAAATTATGTCTATAAACGAAAAAACTAACAAAAAGGAAACAATTCCAACGCGTCCTCTTGTCTTTTTTTTATTTCATTTATCTCTTTTTTGTTACTCTAAGTTACTCCTTAAGCGAAAAAAATTCATGCCAAAAATCGACGAACAGCCAAACGAAAAGAAGCGCAAAGTGAGTCACTCCCGGAAAACGATAGTCACACGGAAAACGTACCATTGTCAGGTACGAGCGATTTGCGAACTCAAATTAGAGTCCTTCACCTTCTCCTCCTTCTTCTCTTCCGCCCCTACCTCCTCCTCCTTCTTCTCTTTCTCCTTCTTTTCTTCTGTCTTTACTCGCGCAATATTGCGTGCAAACTTGTTCAAAAAAATTCATGAATCACAATTGAAATTCCAATATATTCAATTTTTCAGGTTGTAGAAATCATAGAAACAAAAAATTCAAATCTCTGTCTAAACGTAATAAATAGCAAGTAGTGTGTGTGTGTGTGTGCGTGCGTGCGTGCGTGCGTGCGTGCGTGCGTGCGTGCGTGCGTGCGTGCGTGCGTGCGTGTGGGGGGGAGTGTGGTGTGTGTGTGTGTATGGGGGGGTGGTGTGTATGTGTGTGTGTGTATATGGTGTGTAACGAACCGCGAAAATTGTTTATTATCACAATGTCTCTACGGTAAATAACGCGTTGAGAGTATCGATTCGATAGGAAAGCGTATGACAAAAATGAAATCGGCATGAAAAACAACGATGAAACCAACATATAATTAACACATTGATATATCCACTCAGATTCAAATAACAAGAATTCGTATCGGTCAAGCATCTGACACTATATGAAGCGCATGGTATAATTTTCTCATATTCTTTCGAGGAGTACGTTGCACTACGTTATTTCAGCGTTGAAATATCACGACGAAGCGTAATTGAATGAATAAGGTGCCTTAGTTTTGATACGATAACATCTAGTTGGAGAAAACAAAATGACTGTCGAAATAACTTCTTTTTTTGGGCTCGAATCAACACTTTGGTTATTGAAAACAAGTCGATCGCAGTTACGTTGAAAGACTTTTGAATTCCGCGAACTCGTATACGACCTATGTCTCGCTGTTAGCGGAACGGCGAATGCAACGTCGGTCGTCGCGACGACACTGAGACGCCGGTCGTCGAGACGCGGACGGTACCGCGCGCTCGGCAGCCAGGTACGGTATCCTAAACAGTTATTAATAGCCCCTGTCCTAGCTTACTAGATTTGCCCTCGAAATGATGCGACGCGATGCAACGTGACATCAAGCAATTCTATATTCCTGTTGATAATTATTTCTCTTTTTCCTTTTTACTTTAAAACGTTTTATCAAACAAGGAGATCTGATTAGTTAAATTTCAAAGAAATTTGCATTTCAATATATACAGGGGTGTCCCTAAATTTTAGCACCCATCTTGAGCAGGTAGAGCGGTAGACTAAATTGAGACGAAAAATCCTGTACCATTTTGCAATTTTCGCAATGGTTGACAAGATATTACTAAAAATCGCTAAATATTGATTTTCAATTTTTTACTCAAATACTATCAACTTTACAGAAAAAGATACAGAACAGCAAGAGATAAAAATTGTTTATTCTCTTCTTATAAAATTCTGAGAATTTTTTCAAAATTTTTTCAGAATTTTTTATTTTCTTATGGTAGTAAAAATAAAAAACTGAGGTACTAAAAATTGATAAAATTAAAAAATTTTGAAAAAATTCTTAGAGTTCTATGAGAAAAAAATAAATGATTTTTGTCTCTTGCGGATTTTCTGTGAAGTTAATAGGATTTGAGTAAATTATTTTGAAAATTATTGAAGAATAATATTTAGCAACTTTTAGTAATTTATATCTTGTTAATCATTGCGAAAATTACAAAAGTAGAGGACTTTTCGACTCAGTTTAATCCGCTCTACCTTAGGATGAGTGATGCCGAATTTTAGAGACATTCTGTATATCCATTCAGAATAAATGTTAAGTTTGAGGTGAGAAAAGCAAATCATATTAAATTGTGATAGTGTATGTATACACACACATCAAACATACACGTGTATACGCGTATATGTGCATGTGTGCGTGTATACTTATATGTATACTTATATGTATATATAAATATATAAAATGTATATATAAATATATAAAATGTATATGTGTGTAAACATATAAAGTTTATGTCGCTCAAATTAATCATAGTACGCAGAAATTGTAATTGGAGAATTATATAAGTCGTCGAAAATCGTAAAGAATTACGTGTGTACACTGAAAAAAATTGGTTCAAAATGGATAAATCAAAAAATTCTGATTAAATCAGATGATTCAATTAAAATTCCGATCATCTCAATTAGAATGTTAATAGAACTAAGAAATAAGAAAATTTTCTGATTAGGCTAAGTTGAGATAATTGGAATTCTGATTGATATAATATTAGAATCTTCTGGTTTGTCCATGTTTGTCAATGTTTAATTTTCAATCAAATGTTTTTCATGATATGTCATAAAATATATTGTAAGATAGGAGGAATCGGTTAAGTAAAGTGACAGAACACCAAAGCACACGCGTTTAAAGCAAACTCGCAATCATTTTACGATGCTTTCCTTCGATATAAGAAATTATAGATATTATCTAAATAACTATAAACTATCAATATTAACTAACAACAACATTGATATTTAAAAATTATCAATTAGTGAAGCAAATGTGGGGAACTTTGACAAACGCATATGCATGAAATAGCAAAATCGAATTATTTTTACGCGATCAGCAAACATAAATAAAACATTTCGAAAATCTAAGCACCTGTCCAACGGAAGGAGCTTGTAGATAAGTTGAAATATCCGGTTCCACCATGCAGCTTCTCAGAGTGTCCGGGATGAACATGAGTAGACTGAACGTTGTCTGAACTCTTCAGGCTGGAATTGATTCAACTTTGCCGCCAATGTTTGACTACGCGTTTTAACATCCAAATTCAGTGATGAAAATGGTATTCCATTACCATAAAAAATATAAACTTACAATTAGTTTGGACTAATTGTCCAAACTAAGTCTGGAACACCAGACAAAATTTCTCTGTTTTGGATGATCCGTTATCGTCCGAATGATAGGAATCGCGCTCTTCTCAATGTATAGTTATATGATTGCTGTCGCGAGTTGTCAAAGATGAAGCACATGGATCAAAGAAACTTTCTTTTCTCGCGAGATATCGAGGAAGTTCCGGATGATACAGTGATGATGGTGATGGTGGTAATGCAGTCGTACTGAGTTTTCAAGAATCCACTCTGTAAGAATCCGCTGTCTTTAATGATTCTCTCACTATCTCTCGCGCTCTCGAGAAATATTTTCGCAGGACTGTCGTTCTCGGCACAGACAAGTTTGTCGTTAGCGATGGTATTATGGATGCTGTTGACACTACTAAACTGTCGTTTGTCGGGTGGTGACGAGACGCCGCACCCAAGTACACGCATCCTACCTAACCGCAGCAGCCACAAATTATAAACTTTTCAATTTCGAGTTTTGTCTCTCTCCTCTTTCACGCGCGCGCGCGCACACACACACACACACACACACACACACACACACACGCACGCACGCACGCACACGCGCGCGCACACACGCACACGCACGCACACACACGCACACACACACACACACACACACACGCACGCACACACATACACACACACGCGCATGCACGCGCGCGCGCGCGCACACGCACATACCACATACATATATCTTACCAACTATCACCCCTTTTTTTTATGCCTTTCTTCTTTCGAAAAATATCTTGCAAGGATGTTCTTTCTCTTTTTTTTAATTTCTCTCTCTCTCTCTCTCTCTCTCTCTTTTTCTCTCTCGATTTTCGATTATTTTTTCTTTTTTGTCTCTCTTTATTTCTCTTTATCTTTAATGAGTTGCACTTCTCTCTTTCTTTTTTCACTCCTTTTTCTTTGTTGCGTAATTTTAATATTGTTTCTGCGATCAAGTTGACGAATACAATGATAATACAATGAAAATAATGATGAAAAGTTCTTAATGATTCTACTAGTTTTAGCTCCCTTATGTCCAAAGACGCCGAGCTTCAGACTACGTCGACCCGAAACCATGAACACTGCGTCGGCATTGGAATCGGTGTCGGCGTCAACGGCGGCTTCGGCGTCGGCGTCGGCGTTGGCGTCGATGTCGGCGTTGGCGTCGGCGTTGGCGTTGGCGTTAGCGACGTCGGCAATGTCAATGGCGTCGGCGTAAAAACAACATCGGCTCGATGTCAGAATACAGTTTGCTGCGAGATGATAATTCGAAAGAAAGAAAAGTAAAAATATATTAATCAAATAAAATAAAAATGAATAAATAATATTAATGATATGAGTGTATGGAAATGTAATAAAGAAAAATGAGAATAAAAATCAAATTTGACATTTACATTTAAATTAGGAATATCAATATGTTATTAAACAGAAATATTTAACTTCGCGCGGGAAAATATTCTTCAA